ATTTTCCAGAGTCTCTATCAACAATGACTTTAGTGTCAGTAATGGTACCGAATGATTCGAACTCGGCTCTCAACTTGTCGTCGTCGAATGAGAATGGGAGTGATCCAACATACAATCTGGTCATTTAATGAATGATATCAGTGCCATAAAGTCCGCTTAAATACTGTTTTGTAAACCCTTTCAGGTCACTAACTCGTTATTATTTTACAGTTTCGCTCCTTCTTCAAACAATCAATTTTCAATTATAAACACCCCACATTAACGCCTCTCTCTAGGAAATCCTCCTATTATGAAAAACAAATATCAACTTCACTTTTTGTCTATTCGTGTTTTTGGGCGGGGAACACTATTTAAAGAAAAGTAGGGTTCCTTGCCCATTTTTTGAAGCTTAACTCCCAACACACCTTTTCTACTAAAATAAACGAATAATTGACGATAGAAAAACACTCACAAGAAAACACACAGTGAGTGCTTAAACACATAGAAAGGGACATAAGAACACAACACGACCATAAGAACATAGAAGATTGTCATATGAAACTCAGAAACATCGAAAACTATTTGGGAAAATTTGAGAAAGTTTTATAAGGAACAGTTCAAGTACACAAAACGTTTTACTCAAATTTACCCAGCAGATACCGTTCTAAGGAACCCTTTGAAATCGCCCGGACTCGTTCAGCCTCGTCTTCCACAGCAAAGTTTCTTTCGATAAATTGTGCCCGTGTTGCTTTTCTACTTGTTATTTCTGTACTTGCAATGAAAGAAAAAACAAACTGTAAATAATAATTGAGGACAGACAGTGGTGTGCGATGAAAATGTGTTCTCACATCGTTCAAGTAACTTTGTATAACTTCGTCATTCACACAAATGGTATTCTTCGCTATATCCTTCGTCGATATAACAATATCAACACTCTTATACGGTATATGAAACGCTTCATTCTCTCGGTTAAGAACATAAGCAGTCACATCCGCAACAGTCATACTCTCTTCGGTGGTTTTCCGAATAATACATTTGTTATGGTCACAACATTTCGGGTGTCTTATCAGAGAATGGTTATGAGAACTATGAGAAACTATTTTGTAACTATGGGCATTACTACAACAATACTCAGAGAGTGCTCTCTCCACTACTTGAAAAACATTATTAACAGTATGCTGGTCGCCCGCCAAAACCCCGAAAAGACACTGACCGATCCGATATTTTTGATTATAAAACTTCGACACATCTTCTGCACTGAAAGACCGAACGGACTCTTCACTCCCGAGAATATCATGCCCAAACGCAGTTGACTTCCCAAACAACTCTTCATGTACCCGTTGCACATAAACCGAACTCTTCTCTTTACTTACTTGTCTCCGCTCAGCTGAGACAATCTGTTTCTCATACTCTACAACTTCGTTCTTAAATCTTGGAGCAGTCACCATATTAAGCATCACTGAAAGATCTCGAGTCCCTTTATTACTTTCACTGAGAAATTGGGTGTATTCCCGACTCGTCGAACCAGAGACAAGTAGCTTTTCAGATTGATTCATTCTATAAAGTGCGCTGACGGGATACTCAGCATTTCCTCTGAGCAGCACGTGCTCAGTGAAATGAGAGAGCCCGTCACGCTGTGGCGGGTCGTCAAAACTCCCCGTTGGGATATGAACAACACTACTCACTCTGTTGTAGCCACTCATCACCACCCCGAGCATTTTTACACCATTCGTAAGTTTGTGTAAAATCACTGTATGGGATGGACTTAGTCGTCCTAGCATTTATTTTTTGAGTTTCTTTTTGGAATCGGTGATGTTTTACCATTTTTTTATAATACTTTTACTATAATTATAATTATTCATTTTACAAATTTGTGATTAAATCTCAGAAATATCAAACTATTCATTATTTATAAAGTATTTATATTGTATTCGAAAGTGAACTTTTATTAAATTAACTATTAACATACTAAAATAATTAACAGTTTTTAATTATAAAAAAAGTCACCTAATAATTTTATATTTTAATAATTTTATAGTATTAATATTATTATAGTTAAATTGTTATTGAAACAATTTAAAACAATAAATTTACCATTCTAATGAGTCGATTAAATAATATAAATATATAATAATATAACTATAAACAATAAGGGAACTTCGAAGTTAAAGGAAAGTACCACCAAGTGTTGTTCTTTGTTGTGGTCTGGCTGCGGGTTGTTTTCTTTTGTCTTCGATTGAGTCCACTGAGATTTTCGATCTCCAGTCGTTCTTTTTTGGGTCTTGAGCCGAGTTGAAGTCACCGAACTCGAAGTTCTGAGTTTGTTGTTGTTGTGGTTGTTGAACTGTTGGTTGTACAGTCATTCCACTGAATAAATCGGTTGTGTTTTGTTGTTGTCTTTGTTGGACTGGTTGTTGGTATTGTTGTTGAGTCGGTTGAGTGTACAAAGTGCTAAAGAAGTCTTGTTGTTGTTGAGGTTTTTGTTGTTTAGTCGGTGCGGCGAAGTCGAACAAGTCGTTGCTTTTTTGTTGTTGAGTAGGTTGGTCCCAAAAGCTTGCTGTGCTTTTTTGTTGTTGTACTGTTTGTTGTTGAGGTTTTTGTTGTCCCATCAAGTCGAAGAGATTGTTTCCTGTTTCCAAAGGTTTTTGTTGTTGTTGTTTCGGAGCTGGAGTACCAAAGTCCAACAAATTTTCTGTTTTTGGTTGTTCTTGTTTTGGTTGTTCGAATTGGAATTTTGGGGATTGACTTTGAGGGGGTTGTTGAGAAGAAGTAGTTTGTTGAGGAGCGTTATCCTTATAAGAGCCTGGTTTTCCATAGTCGATAGGTTCATTGTCATGGTAACTATCTGGTTTTTGTTGGAAAGAGTCTGAAACGACTGGGGACATATCATTGAATCTGAGTGTATTAGAATTACCATAACTATTATCGGAATATGATGATGTGTTACCAAACCCACCACAATTCCCTACACCACTATAATCCCGTTTTTGGGTCTTTGCAGTAGCTCTTTCTTGTTTCAAAAATTCTTTATCGTTCAACATCTCACAAATGATCTTAGCTCGTTCTCTCACATTAATGCCAACATCCTTCCCATCTTCGTCGATTTTCTGGAAGCTTTGTAAAGTCTTGACATCGACTATATGAGACAGTGCTATTTCAACAGCTTCTTCAGACCCATTTTTAAGTACATTGTCTAACACTAATAAGCTCTTATAGATCTCTCTCCAATTTTTCCCATCTTCATTCAGTCTCTTATACAAATATTCCATCACTTGTCGGCACTCTTCGTAATGATATGTGTACTGCACTATCTGCTGATGTTGTTTCGATGTTGGTCCCCACTGTTCGTTGTTTGTCGCCTCCCGGACAAAGTCCTGCGAGTCTGTCAGCCCATACACCATTTTTCTTGCACTTGCCAGCCAAGACGCCATCTCTTCTTTTTTGAGTTCTTTCTTTTTGAAATGGACTCGAACTTTCTTTTATTGATTTGCTTGGGTTTCCCACTTCCCTCCATTAATTTCAGCCGGTATTATTCCCTTTTTCTTTAATCATAACAATTTGGACGTTTTCTTTTTTTTGGGTCGATTTCTGTGGATTTCATTCTGGTTTTTTTTATAATTAAATATTATACCATTCTAATTAATTCTCTTCTCTTCATGGCATTTTTGTATAGTACTTTATAACTAAATTAACTATATTTGTATGACAATTTCCACTCTTTCAAACCCTTTGAAAATGTCTTCTTTTCCTGAATTTAAAGACTTATTTGAGAAAATCCGTCCTTTGTTGAGTAATTATGTTTTTATTAATTATTAATAAAAAAACAATTAAGAAATAATTAAAACGAACCAAGCGACAGTGACTTAATACGATCTTCCAAAGCACCCATAACATGTGGCTTTCTTTCCACATTGGAAACAAACAGCTCCTTCCTTCAGTGGTTCTTGGTTAACTGGGATACACAACACCTTGGCGGCACCAGTCAAAATGTTTGCGCTGTCTCCCAAGTCCGATGCTCTCTTCAATGAGTCTGCAGCAGACTTTTCTTTAATAGTCTTTTCACAAGCTGGGTCTTCACACCATGGGGCAATGCAAGCGTTTCTCTTGTCAAGTTGATTCAAAAATTCTTCCCATGTAGAAATGTTGGCAAGATGCTCGTCTCTTGTTTTTAAGGCTTTTTGGTACATGTCGTTGTGCATAACATCGATCGTCTTCTTGATGGTTGCTACTAAGTTCTCCCAAAGGCATTCTTCTTTGGCGCCGTTATCTCTTCTGACTATGACAACCTTCTTCCCTGCAAAGTCTCTTGGACCAAGTTCTATTCTCAATGGAATACCTCTTAACTCGTATTCTGTGAATTTCCAGCCTGGATTGTGCATGTCATTACAATCAGCAAATGCTCTGATATCATTGTCTAAGAGTAATTCACACAATTCGTTTGCTTTCGCGTCGATTTCGTCGTTGTTTGAGCCTTTGTGATGTAATGGGACGATCACAACTTGCTTTCCCGCAGCGCGTGGTGGTAAGATGATACCCTTGTTATCTCCGTGAGTCATCACGGTGACTCCAATTGATCTTGTGGACAACCCCCAAGAGTTCTGGAAGACAAATTGCTTCTTCTTTGAGTCATCTTCGTATTGAATGTTAAACAGTTTGGAGAATGTTTGGCCAAGATGGTGGGATGTAGCAGCCTGGACCGATCTTCCATTAGTTGGTATGATGCATTCGACGGTCAAACTGTAATAAGCGCCCGGGAATGTTTCTCCTTTGGACTTCTTTCCTCTAATGACTGGGACAGCCAATAAGTCTTCATATACTGAAGCATATAACTCCAAAATTTGTCTGCACTCCTTTTCACAGTCGGGTTGATTGTCATAAGCAGTGTGTCCTTCTTGCCACAAGAATTCTCTTGTTCTGATGAATGGGTAGGGGTGGGAGAACTCCCATCTGACGACATTACACCATTGGTTGACTTTCAATGGCAAGTCTCGATGTCCAGTGATCCAATTCTTGAAAGCCGGGTACATGACAGTCTCCGAAGTTGGTCTTAAAGCAATTGGTTCTTGTAAGTCCGAACTGCCCGACTTTGTGACCCAAGCAACTTCTGGTGTAAACCCATTCAACTCATCTTCTTCTTTCTTCAAAGCAGCTTGTGAGACAAAACATGGGAAGTAAGTGTTCTCAACACCCATTCTTTTAATTCTCTTGTCGATGAACTGTTGGATGTTCTCCCAAAGTCCATAAGCTGCTGGTCTCAAAATATAACAGCCGGAAATGTCGTAGTACTCAATCAGTTGTGAACGAACTACTATTTCAGAATACCACTCGGAAAAGTCCTTGTCTTTGTCAAGACGCTTTCTCAAGTCAGTCTTCTCTCCCTCTTTTTGTGCTTTTGGTGCCTTTGGTTTCGCTTCTTTTTTCTCTTTTGGAGCTTTCTTCTCCTTTGGCTTGCGTTCCTTCTTGGCAGCTTCGGCTTTTTGAGCTTGTTCTTGCGCTGGTTGGGCGACTTTAGGTTCTTCGGCAGACATTAAAAGGGTTGATTGTAATTTTATGTTCTTTCTTTTATTTCACCCTTCCTGTTTGGTGTATACACGTCACTTATTAATTTTTGTTGATCAGAAAAAACGGCATTTCAAACCATTTGGTTTTTTTGACAGATATTAACTTGATAGTTATTTGGGTTTTTTATTATAGAGTAAAACTTTGATTTATTATTTTCTACGACTGCCTTTTGTGGTGTTTTTATTATTAATGGTAATTTGATATTTAGATGGTATTTTTATTATTATGTTATTAATACATGCTGACAGATTCTTGAAGCAATAATTTTTAGTATATTTAATTACTTTTATTTTTTTTAAATGCAATGTTTTTTTATTTTAATATGATTAATATAATATTAATCATATTAAAATATCTATTATGAAAAAATAAGTAAATTATAATCAAATTATTATATTCTTGTTTAATTGTAGAATATATTTATTCTACTTTTAAATAAACAAACACAGTATTATGTTATATATTATATTATATTATATTATATTATATTATATTATATTATATTATATTATATTATATTATATTATATAATATAATATATTATATTATATTATATTATATTATTATTTATTATTTTTATTTGATAGAAATCTTCTTTTTGGGTAATTTGTCAAACTAATTTATAATCAATAAAACAATTATCCAACTCCATTTTAAATTAGAAATACATAATACGCGTGCATAAAATCAGGAAATTTTAAATAACTTTTAACATTTGGATGAATGGAAATACATTCTTCTTTCCAATTAGTAAAATTCAACAATGATTTTAAATTCAGTCCATTCAAAATGGCACAATTTACACACAGAAATGATAATGAATTAATGAAACATGATAAATGCTTTACTTCATGCTTCTCTCTTCGAGCTTCACAAGTCTATTTTTTGTCTGCAGTGTCAATTGGCAAAACTCGTCGTACTCTTTCAACCTGAAAGACGACATATGTCGTTGAAATTCAGAGAGTATATGTACATGGATTTTTCTTCCAATCTGTTCAATAGCATCTTCGTTGAATATGCACTCATGGTCTGTTCCTATCCCCGTTATCTTTTCCATTTGTAGTGTTTTCTTTGGAATTTTTGTTGGTCGTCTTGTTAGGATGTATCCGTACTGCTCCACGTACTTTACAAGCCAATTAAAAGACAATGCGGAGCGATTTAAGTCCTTTCGCCGCTTCGCAACTTTAATTTCATTTTGAGTCTTAGCACCTTCAGAGTCTCTTAAGTATTGCGAGGCACAATACTCTTCTATTTTTTGTCCAAAGCCAAGAGGATTACCTTGAAAGTAACATTCAAGAATAACTAAATTCTGTAATGTTTTAGAAGCAAGACGTTCAGGACACTTTAAGTCGAAAGAAAACCCTGCTTCCGTAAGAAGACCCACCATCAAAGCTTGTTGAATCGCTTCGTATGTTTTGGACTCTCGTTTGATCTCTGTTAACGATTTCATAGGAGAAATGTGTCTAGTTCCACAGATTATATTTTTCAATGAAACCAATGGAAAACACCACACAAAATATTTTAAATATAATTCATTTTGTATCCATTTGAGTTTAAAACAGACAAAATCAATAATAGTGTTAAATTCACTTGAATATTAACAATATTTTCATTGTTTTATATTCAAATTGGCAAAAGCACAAAACAAATAATTTGTCGTTTGCTTTTTTTTCTAATGTTCATATGTTATTTTATCGAAAAAAATGTTGTTATTTAAATTAAAAAAAAATTGAAATTTTTTATTTCAATATGTTTTTGGAAACGATTCGTTTACTTTTAAAAAAACACCATATTTTGTCGAATAATTAATTACACAACATTAAATATTAAAATAAATATTTAATTTTTTTATTACTATTTATAGTTTTTTTTTCATGTGCAAAATTATTTTTTTACACGTATTGAATCGATTTGTTTGTATTATAGTAATTAAACTATAAATATAATACGTTTTCTTGAAAAATTATCATGTACTATAATTTATAATACATAATTTAATGTGATTATTATTTTGTATAACAGAATCTTTTTTTTTGTAAAATCAATTATTCCAATAAAAACTAACTTATAATAAAAAATGTACAATGAGTTGAAAAAAGTTAACAATAATGCTATTATAATAATCGGCAAAAATAAAAAATTGGTTTTTTGGTTTCATGTTTTAAAATCAATTTGTTGAAATTTACAACTTCCCTTACAAATAGCGTTAAAAAGTGATAATATTTAGTTGTAATAAAGTAATTTATTTCATCATTTTACAATACATAAAAAAGTTTATTTTGCTAAAAACATTGACGAAAACTTTTATTAAATTTAAAAGATTCATGCTCAACAAACTTTAACTTATTTTTTTAATTATATCATAAGTGTTTTATTAAAAAATGAATATATTTATAAAATACAAATAATTCATTATTATTATATATTATATATTATAATATATATATTATAGTATTATATTATTATATATTTTTGAACAAACATTTTTAAAAGTATAAACAATTATTAATTATTTATAATACAAATAGTATTTTATATTAAAAAAAAAATAAGAAATAAAAAAATAATTTTTGACAAAAGAAATAATACAAATACTCTAATATAGTTATTTTTAATTATTTAGTTATAATAATCTATAACACAATAATTCTATTATTAATTATAATAGTTTTTGTTAAACATATCTTTTTTAAATTGTCTGGTTTGTTACTTGTTTTCAAACTTCTTTCAGAAAAAATAATATCACTTTTATTTTAACTATTAAAATGTTATAATACAACAATTATCATATCATAATTTACATAGAGGACCAACTATGATCTTTTTTCTTCCACTCCACATTTTTTTCTTCACCAGGAGATTCTAACAAAACTAGTTTGTCAAAACTATAGTAAATCAATAAACAAATGTATTATAACTCAACAACAATGAACCATGGAGTATTCTTACCTTTTTATTTCCCAAAACTGTTTTTTTCTGTATCAATTATTAATAAAATAAATATTTTTGGTCTTTTTTCCGAGTTTACAGAAAAAGAGAAGCGATAAGGTAATAATTTATGTCTTTTTTAATAAAAAAATAGTAATAAATAATAAACGATTTTTTTTTCTCGTGGCAAAAAAAGTTTATAATTAACTTGGAAGACTCGACAATAGTGCAAAAAGAAATCAGAAACTGTAAAGAGTAGATCGAAATTACCTCAAAAAGTCCGTTTAACAAAAATATCTTACTAAAAATCATTTTAAAATAATATAAAAATTTCCTAAGATTTTATATCACAAAAAGCATTGTTTGTTTCAGTCAAAACTTGAACTTTCGCCTGGAAAGCAAAGTTTTTTCTGGTGTAGAAGTTCGATAAGAAGGTACAGTTTTCGACCTCTCCGCAGACACGGAACAAGGACTTATAAACTACAAACAAACAAACTCAGTCAGATGCAGCTCGCACATCAACTCATATTAATGGACTCTACAATTAACTTCCCAACTCCACAACGGTCTTACTTCACACAGTCCTTAAACACCTTCAACTTCTCGTCGGCCCCAAACCCTATACCGTCACCTCTTAAGAACTTGAGTCCAACTCTAGACATCAACACTAACTGTTTCTTAGTACAAACACCACAAAACACTGGAACTCCAATGGAAGAAGATGACATTGAAAATGATCAAGTATTCGATTTGGACGATGAAGAAGAACTCAGTGATGATAGTGAGAGTTGTGAAAATACTGAAACAAATTATTTGGCACAACAAATAGTCGACACTATGAACAACATTACACGGCAATCAGAAGAAACAAACAAAATGCTGAAAAACATTGTCAGTCTCAATTCACCAACACAGATCTGATGGCTTCATGTTGATAATTCATTGTATTCTTCTTCATAACATTGTATTGCTATATTTATAATATACCATATTATTAGTTTATTATATATTAATTCACACATTATCAAAACTAATTTTTTTAATTGTTAATAATTAACATGTTTTCAATTTGTTTGGAACAAATAACCAACATCGACTAGATAAATGTCCGTTATACAACACCAAAAATATTGATTTTTTTTAATTGAACAAATTTGATACCGTATAACACTAATCTATTGGTGTTATATGGTATCTTTTAGACTATAACAGATTAACTATTTTGAAAAACTAAAAACTTGTTACTTTGTTTTGATTATTTTCACGTTTTATTTGATGCCCATCTTTTTACATAAAAATATAGGCATTTATTCCATCAATATTAGTTTGATAGATTATAACACTTTAAATAACAATGAACAAAATTCAAGTGGTCTAAAAATAGGGAAATGTCGAGTTTATTAAATAAATTTCCGTTTTTTTAGAGATTAGATTATGTGCATAAACAATACACAAGTTAAAAAAGAAAAATCATCAAAAATTGGATTAATATCCCAGAAAAACAGGCCAAAACAAAAATAAGGGCGTTATTTTAAGTGTTAAGATAAAACTTATTCAATAGGATTATTATTATCTAGAATTATTTATAAAAAAATTTTAAACGATCCGAACTATATAACAATATTATTACATTGTAATATTTTTAACTTTACAATTGAATAATTTAATTCTATTGAAATTGAAGTTATTTGCATTTATTTAAAATACACGATTGATTAATTAATTAATGATAATAAATTTATACTAATATATAATAAAAAAATTATTTACAAATCAAGTCATAATAACAAGGAAATGAGAGTCTTTATATTCACCAATAAAAATTAAGACAAAAGGTTAATTTGCTTAGCACTTTTGGGACAAAGTGGGTAGAGAAGGATATGTTCAAGTAAAATACGACTAAAATACCAGAAAAATAAATTAACGCACAATTGTGCACATACAAATCCTCAAAAACAAAAGAAAAACATTATTGGGTCAAAGAAAAAGAGGAGAAACACAAAAAAATGAGTCTGAAACTGGAAAACATACAAGATTATCAGATGCAGATGCACAACAATTGGAAACCACTGGGGACCACCGCGTTCACTCAACTTATCCGCACCAACTCGTCACTCGAACAAATTTTGGACCAACCTGATCTCCTTGCGGTGTTGCGCTCGAGCACTGAACTTCAGAATTAGTTTGTAGTTTCTCAAAACTT